TATCAGACGCCTAAAGAAATTTGACAAAAGAACATTGACAAAAGTGCAAAAAATCAATTCCTTATAAATGATAATTTAGGTTTTATTAATTTATTATCATTGGATAACTCAGCAACACAATCCCCCAGATAATAAATAAAGCTATAAATACACCAAATTTATTCTAGCTATAGATAGCGCAATCAATTTCAGAAATTTTTTAAAAACGCGCAAATATAGCTACAGCCTAGAAAAGTCAATGACTGTCTAGTTACGTCAATGTTCTTCACTGACATTTAATTACCAAAATTAATTTATTAAACCAATAATGATTATGATGTCACTTCGTCCTCCCCCCTCCCAAAATGTAGGAGTGGGTGAAACATTTTTTTCATATTTCGTGCATTTTGAGATATTGGTTTTATAGATAATTAAAAAATAAGAAAAATTCGCCGTCCTCCTTCCCCAACCTTTTTTTTTATACCTTTTCTGACCTATTGATAATTATTTTCGAAATGTTTTATGACAGGGTCGGATATAGTAGAGCGATTGTGGTCACATACAACAATGTCTAATGTAAATATAAGGTAAACGAAAAGAAGAAGAAAAAGAAGTAGTAGAAGAAGAAGAAAAAGAAGAAGATGAAAAAGAAGAAAATAAAGTAGAAGAAGAAAAAGAAGAAAAGAAGAAGATGAAAAAGAAGAAAATAAAGTAGAAGAAGAAAAAGAAGAAAAGAAGAAGAAGAAAGTGTTCATTAATCTGAGTTTGTTATTTAATTGAATGTATTTTTTTAATTGTAATGGTACTGAACTATGTTATACATCTAAAAGTTCATGGTCTCAGATATACAATGAACAAACCAAAAATGCTAGAAACATGCAAACTTTGTTATAGATAATTAGAGAATAATTTTGTACTTTGTTTTTGTAAACTATTAGAGATAAGAAAAATACTAAAATGTTTTGTTTTAAATTTACTTTTTTACTGGCTTAAGTTATGCTAGTTTATATCCTTCCTCCATGTGTTGGTTAGGGTGGAAAAAACTCAACATCAAATTTATTGTGTCGTTGTAACCAGTCACATACAAAGTCATTACAGCACTTACGTAAAAAAGATACCTACCCTTAAATGTTATTTTTAATAATGTAATACGGCGAAAAAGACGATAATTTTGAATCGGCGATACGGTAAATTGCATTTGAAGGGTTGGGATGCAAATGCATATATATTTTTCTCAAATTTTCAATAATGATTATGGTTGAACACTAGTTTGTATAAAACACACAACACATATACAAAGTAAAAATTGCAAATTTTATGCAAATAAACTCTTCTAAATACAAACTCAACTTCAAATACAAATATATAAGAGAATATTTGATTTCCGCGTCGTCATCTATGGCGCTTCTGTATTTTTCTCTACCAGTGTCATATTGGGCCGTCGGTCTATCAATCTAAAGACCAGATGGCCTTTCAAGCACTAGGCCCTTGAGAAGAACAAACAAAAAATAATTAAATGCAAGAAACCCCGTAATACGCGAAAGGACCTTTTTGGATCTTCAATGAAAATCGGACAATTAAAAGGTGTGACCTTCTCCCTCCTGATTGGTATGCCCTGAAGGTCCCAATCCGACACTGGATTCTACTAGAATTTTTGCTAAAAATAATTATGAAAATCGGTAGAAATATGTAAAATGTAAACATTGCTTAATATGAAGTGATCCATTAAAATTGTTTCTAACTTAGAGCATATAAGATATTATTTAATGTATTTTGTTATGTATAAGCTGGGTCATCACTTTAGAGGTGAGGGGAGAGCACATACTTTGATTGCTATACGGGGCAAGAGAGAGGTCCGACACGCCCAACATAGGGCGCGGCCATTTTGATTCCTATGACACAGTTTATAGCTAAAGAATCAGATCGCTCACTCTGCGTCGGCACTTTTGATCTCAATGTTCCAGTTTATACACTGCGCAACTCAGATAATACAATATATGACAATAAAACAGCAGTCTTCTGCGTATCCTGAATTTGTATCCCTGGAGTGGATGTTATTTTGGAACTTTCAACTGGTCCGAGTGAGCTATCTGATTCTTTAGCAATAAAATGTGACTCCAAAAATAATATTCACTGACACTGACAGCAGCAAGCAAAATATCAGGTGCGTTTTAATCATCCGCTTCTGCTTCCGGAATTGTCGGTTTAGTCGTTTTAACCTGTCAGATTAAAACAAGTAAACCGACAATTCCGAAGCAGAAGCGGATGATTAAAACGCACCTATTAAAAATATTGCGCCAAGATGTAGGCAACACGTAATAAGGGTTCAAAATGGCGGAGTTTTCTATCTCCTTTTAAAATGAACTCAGAAAGCTGCGCAAAATCAAAGTATGTGGGGGAGAGGGTTAGGTACTCCATTTTCAATGGCGTACGATTTGAAAGGGTTCGTATTTATGTTTACCATTTATGCAGTGTAATGTCACAATAACTAATAATTTAGATAATTGCTCTGCATGATTAAGGGTCCATCTTTTCACCTCTGAGTAAAGTTACACGTCAATTTACTTGACAGATAAGCGAACAGCAGCCTATCGTTTAATCAGCAAGTAGTTATTCAACTTTACTCAAAGGTGAAAAGACTGGCTCTAGGAGAAACAAATTTATTTAAAAATACTATATTCGTTTAGGAATGAAAATTTTTTTGTATTGTAGTTATACGTTTTGAAACTGTATGCTTTCAAATGGATTCGTGGCCACGCATTATTTTAGTTTAGTTCAAGTAGATCATTTAAAAACTGAAATCTTTTTCATAGAGCATATAAAAGACAAGTAAAGGTAAGTAAAAACAATTAACAATAATTTATTTATAATAGTAATAATAAATGTACATATTTTATAATAAAATTATTAATTAATGTAATCAAAACACAGTTATTTGTTGTACCTAGATGTAGTATCTGTGTGTAGAAGTAAGCTATTTATAAAACAAACACAAAAATGAAATAAACATTAATGCTACCAAATTCCCATGAAATTTATTTATTATTTATTTAGTACACCTCTCAACAGTTAAAAACCAATTACATATAGAATGGGATGAATACAGAAAAAAATACATTTTATTCGTGAGATACATCATACACATTTTCAGGAAAAAAATGTTCAGTTACATTTGACTGCCTCTATTAGAGCATAAAACATTTGAAAGGTACATAAAATTTATTTTGCCTATTTATTAATGATACACATCTTATTAAATTTTAAAAGTTCCAAAGGCCACTACCAGCATCTGTTTGATTTTTAAAAATGTGTGTTTAAAAAGTCACATATAAATGAATATCTAATTACATTCATTAGGTACGTCTAGTGTTTATATGGAAAAAAACTTATAGCCCAAGAGCCCACTGCAAATTTTTACCGTCATCTGATAACGAAATGAAATATACCCCAAAAGCATGGAAAAACATTGTACTTTACCAAATGGCACCTGAGCCAATCCCTATCCTGAGCAAAGTAGCTTAAAAAATTATTTTATATTAAAAAAATCACATAAGGCATGACAGCTCTAATTTCGTTTGCCCTTAAAGTTTTCCAGAAAATAACATTCAAATATATCTTGATATATATCGTTAAAGGAAAATATTTTCTTCCTCTTAACATTGCACAAAAACATCTATCCACGATTAGTGGGTAAATATCATTAAAAATATGAATCAATGTTTGCGGATTTAAAAATTTATTTGTATGCCTATTGTTGTGATTCATTTTTACAGGTTGCCATAGAAACGACAAAAAAACTACTATGATTATGGTTTAAAATAATTGTCTAACAAGAGTTTATAAATATTATTGACTATCTCTGCAAATGGTTTATACAATACCATCCTTCTTCCTTTCATACATAAACATGGATTAAAAGGTAGATAAAAATATTAATAATTCAGGTTTAAAAGCGAGATTCGCAATGAATTAGGATTGTAATTTTCAGGGAAAACATAATTGTCCTGTCATGTTTTATTTGATTTTTAGAATATAAAATAATTTTTTCTAACCACTTTGCTCAGGATAGGGATTGGCACAAGTGCAATTTGGTAAAGTACAATGTTACATGCTACATATGTACAATAAAAAAAGGTATCTAATCCATTTTACAATACACAAAAAGATTAATAAATTAGGCATTATATCGCAAAAGAAATAATTATTGCGATGATGCTCAAATGAAGAACTTTCTACAAACATGTTTTCTTATTAATTTGTCCATTTTAAGTTACGTTTATGGAATATAGAATACTTACTTATGAAACGTCAACCGGGATCCTTTTAATAATTTTTTATTGCAAACTATACAAGCTCTCGGCATGATTAGCAGTTATTTTAAAATAAAAACAACTTTAAAAGTTCATAAAAGAGACAACTCGTCCAAATTGTCTTCGGTAGCAACAAAAACAGATCTTTTTAAAAACGAAAACAAGACGTCTAATGAAATGTCATTTATCACAAATACGCGCGTTATTTAAATTCGCCAATCATAAAACGTCGTGAACCTAACTCGCCAATAATAAAGCGTATGTTCCTAACACCCCCCTCAGTACATAACAAACCCATTTGAGTAACACCTCTAGTCTTATATGCTCTAAGGCTTCTAAGGTTATTCTTCTTCTTCTTCTTCTTCTTCTTCTTCTTCTTCTTCTTCTTCTTCTTCTTCTTCTTTAAATGACAGTTTGGATCGGTTTGGATTTAATTCAGATGAGTATCGCTATAGGTATCGGTCATGGCCTATTGTTCTTTGTGAATCACACGTTACTTTAATTCTTTCTCTGTCTATACCATTGTAACAAAATGAAATCGTGACCTTACAAAAGAATCAGTATCCCACCCTCGTTTGCATCCTTTCTTTTCCATAACACGATCATTAAACTCTGAATTACCACCAGAAACAATTATCCGATGCCTTATCCACAACAATACATTCGAGACAACAAAAAATAATGATTTCATTTCCTTTTATATTGTTTCAGATTATCCAAAATGGGCTCGAGCAGCGGGGGAAAGAAGAAATATGTGAACTTTAGGAACAGACAACGGGCCAGCCTCAGTTTTTTTATCGTCGTTATGTTTTTCGGGGTTTTCGGTATAATAGTGTTTACGGAAATATTTTTCATCGACGAAAGGGGGCGCGCAGCGGGCGTAATAGTTAGAAGGGGGTCGCTCACGATTCAGCACAAACAGGACAAGAATTCGGATTACGACGACGGGTTCCAGGTGAGCGACTAGCTTGATATTTTAGCCTGCTATTTTCGTTATTTCTTTTTTTTAACATCATTATCTGGTGGCTGGAAATGATTGTGACTAAAAGGTTGGCACCGGAACAATCAGGCATTGCAGACCAAGTAATATTGTGTCAGTTTAAAAAACTATACGCTGTATTATTAATAATAATGAATTTATTTTCAACATGGTTACCCAATAACAGAAAATAAATTATTTACACAAAAATAATAGTATATTTGGTATAAACATGTTTAATAGTTTACCAGTTAATGTTAAATTGTCGCCAAATTTAACGAGCTTTAAATTTAAAGTTCAAAAGTATATTTAAAAAATTTTAGACAATTTTTAACATTGTTGTTAGTATTTTGTTTTACATTCCATTATTTTTAATTAGTGTACTAAAATTTTATGTTTAATCATTTTTAATAGTCCTACAACTGTAATAAAATAAACTTAAAATCAAATTTAACACCGATATCTTTAAATATATCGCACCTTTCAATAGTCGGCATTATTGATAGAGTAATTGAATAAATAGGGATAATTTTAACAAAAATAGGAAACAACTTTAAATTTGAAAATAGGCATCTACTGCTACGGTTATTAGCCTCGTGTTCTTTGTAGGCTTTGTTACTGTTTCCGAGCGCCACAATTGTAAATAATTTTCCAGACACCAATGGTTGAGGATATCCAAAGATAGCTGCAATTTGTAGGCACCCCTAAGTTTTAAAATGATATTATACAATTTTAAGTCGTCAGCAAAGGATAGATGTAGACATTCCAAAATAAATAAAAGATCATTAAAAAATATAAAGAACACTAATGGTCCTAAGATGGATCTTTGTGGTACACCTGAAGTGTTTACATATAGTTGTGAACCAAACCCGCCATATTCTACAAATTGATCTCGTTCAATTAAATAGTTAAGTATAGCAGGAAAAGTAGTAGCAATGTCTATCCCATACGAGCTCATTTGTTTATCATTAAAAACTGATTAAATTGGTAAATATCTTTTTAAAATATGTGTAAATAACATTTATTTAACTAAACTGGTAACTGTAGATTTTTTCCCATGAAATGGTAGATATTTATCAAATATACCTAATCAATTCAAGTTGATAGGTTCTTTCCAAAATATTAAAATAAACGTTTTTAAAAATAAATAAAATAAAAGGCCAAAAGTTTTTTTTTTCAAAATTTATTTATTTGTTAGGATAATAGACATACGAAAATGTCAATTTTTTAAACTTACTAAACTAAACTTTTGTCAACATTACTGTCATTTCAAAATTTCCAAATTGGTCGAGTGCAATATTTGGAAATACGCCACCATTTCTGATAATATACCCAGTGTTGTTCTTGGTTGTACAATTGTACAAAAATGTGTACAATCAGTTATGTGGTTGTACGCACTTTTGAAAAAAGGTAGAAATGTTGTACAATTTGAAGTTGCTAAATATTTATGTAAAATCTGGTATATCGTAAATCGTATACATTCAGATTAATAAAACAATAATGTTTGAATTTGGCGTCATTCGCGACCAATCAATAGACCGTTTTACATCGAAAACATTGATAAAACTGGAAAAAAGAAGAATTTTAAGCATTAGGAATTAGTCGACTAATTATGGTTGTACAATCGAACGTAAAAGTGTACAATTTTGACAGTAAAAGTTGTACAATTCAAAAATCCCTAGGAACAACACTGAATATACCACCATTATTGTAATTTCATTATAGCTGACGAACATAATATTCATATACAGGGTGGCCACTTTTTTAATGGGATTGTATTAGTAATTTCCAAACCATACTAGTTAGAAAGTCGGTTAAATTGAGAAAAAGTTGCGTATCTCTAAGCATAATCTAGCGGTGAAAATTAATCGAAAATAGCAGGCACGGTTCTTGAGATATTTCGATAAAAGGAAATTCGATCATTTTGGTTTTTTGGTTATCGTTTATTTATTTTCAGAACTACTAAAAAATATTTTAAAGATTTTTTATTTGATAGTAAATTTTCTTTGATTTGACGTTTTCATATTTTGCATCCAACGTTTCGTATTCTCCAGACCACCATCAACTTTTTTTTTAAATATGGGCCTGGGTATTTTATAACATTATTTGAAATAACTTTTTATCCTGCATCCAGCGGTGTATTACACAATGGCATTCACTGACAGATTTTGGGTAATATGGACCGTACCAAATTTTATTGGTACGGATCATCTGTATTGAATTTACAATCAGCGTTAATTTTTTCAGTGTATAATACTTAGGAAAAAATAAATGAGAATTAATAATTATTCAATTATTCGACTATTAAAAAGTATGTTTTGATAAGGTAAATGATTAAAAGATATTCTCGATTCTATTTTTGACAATACATACCTACCAAATTTGAAGGCAAAATATTATTTTATTACTGGCACAGCAATTGATATGATTTTAAACTAATATCATCTTACTTGTTACAAAATATAGTAGGCCGAGAAAACAATCCATATTACAAGAACTGTCACATTATTATTATGTTGTTCTTTATTGCTTTACGAAAATTTCTCATTGTTCAAAAGTTTTTTGTGTGTTTCTTCGTACCTAGTCTAACTTCAATATGGTAAGATACACTGCAGAAGAAAGACGAGATATGTACGAATTATACATCAAACTGAACAGAAATTCGTTCAGAGCAAAACAAAGGTACGAGGATTTATATCCCGACAGAATGCAACCAAATATAAAAATTTTTCGGCGTTTGTCTACAACTCTTCTCGAACATAATACATTCGATAAAGCTAGAATTCCGTATGTTCGAAGAAAGGAGCCAGTCAACGATATTAATGTCTTAGCTCAAATTCGAATAAATCCAGGAGTTGGGTCGAGGACTATTGCAGGTGAATGTAACTTATCAAAAAGTGCTGTTAATAAGATAATCAAGAGACACGGATACCATGATTACAAATACCAAGCAGTACAAAAACTATATCGTAATGATCCTGAAAGAAGATTGCGATTTTGTAATTGGTTTAAACAAAAGGTAAGAATTAATAACAACTTTGCACACAATATCATTTGGGGAGACGAAACAACATTTACAAATTCTGGTATGTTCAATCGAAGAAATAAACATTTTTATGCCACGGAAAATCCTCACCTAATCCAAGAAGTGAGACATCAATATCGTTTCTCTTTGAATATGTGGTGCGGTTTGTTAAATAATAAATTACTGGGACCATACTTTATTGACGGAAACCTTACTGCAGAAAAATATTTAGATATACTGCAGGATATGTTAGATGATCTTCCTTTAGAGTATAGTCTTAACGAAATCTGGTTCCAACAAGATGGATGTGGTCCACACAATTCAAGAATGGTCACGGATTATTTGAATCAGACTTTTCCCAATTCATGGATTGGAACAAGAGGTCCAGTGGCGTGGCCTGCCAGATCGCCAGATCTGAATCCATTAGATTGTTATTTGTGGGGACGTCTCAAAAATAAAGTGTATAATACACCAAATGCAACAATTGAGATTCTCCGCGAAAAGATTGAAGATGCATTGAAAGATATCCAAGAAGAAGAAGTAAGCAATAGCATAAGAAATATGAATATTAGAATTGCTAAATGTATTGAAGAAGATGGCAGGCATTTTGAACAATTACTCAATTAATTTAATTGATATTTTCAAATAATTTGATTATGACTAACAAAAACTGAATTTCTTTTTGTTATTATCATTAATTGCGTTTTAAAATTTCTACTTTACTATTGTTGTTGTTGATGAATTGTTTAATTTTCGAAAAATTACATAAATTTTGTAAGAATTGATTTTATTTTTTTATCGAGGAGCATGACATGTTGATTCAACTAAAGATGGCTGAAACCATTAAATAAAATTTGGATTACGGTCCATATTACCCCAAAACCGTCATTGAATGCCATTGTGTAATACACCTCTGGATGCAGGACAAAAAGTTATATCAAATAATGTTATAAAATATCCAGGTCCATATTTAAAAAAAATAAGTTGAGGGTGGTTTGGAGAATACGAAACGTTGAATGCAAAATGTGAAAACGTCAAATCAAAGAAAATTTACTATCAAATAAAAAACCTTTAAAATATTTTTTAGTAGTTCTGAAAATAAATGAACGATAACCAAAAAACCGAAAAGATCGAATTTCCTTTTATCGAAATATCTCAAGAGCCGGGCCTGCTATTTTCGATTACTTTTCACCGCTAGATTATGCTTCGAGGTAGGCAACTTTTTCTCCATTTAACCGACTTTCTAACTAGTATGGTTTGGAAATTACTAATACAATCCCATTAAAAAAGTGGCCACCCTGTATATTAGACACTTTTTCATTTATAGCACCAATTAGGAAATACGAACTGAACATAAAATTATTGACGGGAGACTATTTTTAAAATGTTTGTATTGATAAATTTTAATTCTTTTTCGAATAAATATCACAATCATCTTCAGTCAACTTGTTATAAGAAGTGATCAACATAAAATATTTATAAAGTAGGTCAAATTAATACCTGAAAAGAAGCATTTGCGCCCGATATGCCTGAATTTTTCTTATACCTACTTTAGAAATACTTTTGTAAATCACTCCATAGTTCTAATGAATGTGAATATATGTCGTTTACTTAGTATTAGTACACTACAACTAAGACATATACCGTGGAACCAATTTGCAGGTGTTTAAATACCTTTCTATATTTCCATAGACACTACTTTAAATATTAAACCTAAAATATACCTATATATTACTTTCTCCACGATTATTTAATAATAGGTTCATTTTTAATTGAAGAATCATAAGTATAAAGAGCATTGAAATAAAAATGTTTTTACCGCAGGTCATAACCCTCAAAGACAGAGATACGAGTTATGTTGGTAATAATTACGTACGGCTCTGAATTAAATTCAAACGGGCATGTTAGATTATATTAATAAGTCAAATAATTATTTAGTTATCAAGTGATT